CTCTGGAGGGCTTCCGGTGCCCGGGGGTGGCTGTTTTCGCCCTCCTGGAGGCTCCAGGAAAGCCTCCGGAGACTGGGGAGGGCAAAAAACAGGCCTACCAGAAGTAGGCCTGTTTTTCTGGCCTCTGGAGGACGCACGAAGCGAACCAGTTGTTCCAACTGGTGAATCCCACCACACTGCATTATTAGGAGGTCCTGTGATGGATTCTGGCCATAGCAGAAGACAAAATAATGACTTCCCATGTTTTGGAAACTAAATTTCTGCTGATTCAAGCCAGGATAACAAAGCAGGATTCTTCTGCTCCATCGCCCACATTGCCTAAAGGCAGAAACCATGTTGTGCCTTATCATTATCTCTTCCTGCAGAGATCAACCCAGCTTTAACCGAGTCTAGCATGCCACTAAGTCATAACTTGTGGTTTGCAAACCTCACCGCATCGATTTGCATATGCCAAGAAGCTGAAACCAAAAAAAACTTCCGCAAACTTGAATCTAACGTATAGATGCATATCTAAGGATGTGCATTTCTTTGTTAGGCCCTGATTATAAAGTGGTTAAGCCTGTAAGAACAGTGAGCCAGTTAGCCCAGTATAGGGAGTCCTTGACTTGCGACCACAACCGAGCCAACATTTTTGTTGCTAAGTAAAGGCAGTTATGAAGTGAGTTGACGACTTTTCTTGTTAAGTTGTTAAGTGAATCCGCGCCGTTAATTTAGTAACGTGGTCATGAAGTGAATCTGGCTTTCCCTTTGACTTGGCTCGTGAGAAGGTCGCAAAAGGGGATCGCATGACTCCGCCGGGACTCTGCAACCGTCATAAATATGAACCAGTTGCCAACCGTCTGAATTTTGATCACGTGATCATGGGGACGCCACAACGGTCATAAGTATGAAAAATCGATCATAAGTCACTTTTTTTCAGTGTCGTTGTAAGTTGAGGACTACCTGTACAGGGGGAAGCTGAGATGGACAATGGTGGTTGTAAGTTGAGGACTACCTGGACATGAGGAAGCTGAGATGGACAATAATTGCTCGGCTGGAAGGTTCTGCATATTATTTGGGTGGTTCATATTTATGACCTTTGCAGCGTCCCCAGGAGACGTGATCCCCTTTTGCGACCGTCTGACAAGCAAAGACCACGGGGGAAGCCAGATTCACTTAACAACCGCATCACTAACTTATCCACTGCAGTGATTCACTGAACAACTGTGGCAAGTAAGAAAATAGGGCAAAACTCACTTCACCAATGTCTCACTGAGCAACCGAAATGTTGGGCTCCGTTGTGGTCGTAAATCGAGGACTACCTGTAATATGGGTTTGCGTGTACTTTTTTTTCTTTTTTTGAAGCTGAATTATGGTTCAAAGTGACTTATTTTCCAAGAGAAGCGGGGGGGAAGAAACTCCAAATGATTTACTCAACCTTTAAGGATTTTTCTAGTCTTCAGGGGGGGAAAAATAGGATTTCTGGCATGGAGTCCCACAGACACAAGACCGTGATATTTATTATGTATCTTTGCTGGAAACTGGTATTTATTTACAGGTTGTGCAAAAAAATGCCCCATGGTAAACAATGGATTCATTTAATGACTATGGTATTTGCTCAATGTCTGCCAGATTCACTAAATATCCTCCATAAAAATGCCATATAATTAGGTCAATTACGGGACAACCCGTTTAATGACTTACAACCATAATTCTGAGCTCTGGTGGCTCAGCAGGCTAAAGCATTGTTATTAACATCCACTTACATCTGCTGCCTGCAATTACTGCAGGTTCGAATCTCGCCAAGGCTCAAGGTTGACTCAGCCTTCCATCCTTTCTAAGGTAGGTAAAATGAGGACCCAGATTGTGGGGGGCAATAAGATGACTTTGTATAAATATACAAAAAGTATGAAGGCTATTGCTTAACGCATTGTAAGCCGCCCTGAGTCTCCGGAGAAGGTCGGCATATAAATCAAATTAAAAAAAAAAATACAGTCATAAGTTGATGACTATCAGTATTGGACACAAACTGGGTAAAGAGCATAGCTTCGCTAGCTGGACAGAATGGGATTTATAGTTTCACCCATTTACCAGGTGCCAGATTGGGAACCATAAAGAACTACAGGTAGTCCTCGACTTACAGCCATTCATTTAGTGAATGGGCAAAGTTATGACAGCACTGAAAAAAATGTCCTCACGCTTTCCCACACTTATGACCATTGCAGCATCCCCATAGTCCCGTGGTCAGAATTCAGGTGCTTGACAACTGAATTCTGCTTCTGACGAGCGAAGTCAATGGGGAAGCCAGATTCCCTTAATGACCGGGTTACTAACTGAACAACTGCAGTGATTTCACTTAACAACGGTGGCTAGAAAAGTCCTAAAAATGTTAAGCAAAACTCGCTTAACAAATGTCTCACTGAACAACAGACACGTTGGGCTCAATTTTGGTCGTAAATCAAGGACTGCCGGTAATCAGAAGGGTTTTGGAAGCCCAAAGCGTCCAGCTAAATGGGCTCATGCCAGAGAGGTTGGGTGGCCACCAATTAAATGCAATATGAATGGCCTGTGCTCTGAGCTTGCCTGCCAATCGCACAGGCCCCTTTGTCTCTGCAATAATCCTGACCTGCTATTTTCACTGTTATTTCCCACACAAAGCAGGCAGCCCCGAAAGCAGGTTTTTTGCATTGTTGTGCATTTTGTTTTTAAAAAATTCCCTATTTTTTTAAACACAATTAATTCCCCCACCAAGTTATAGGCCAGGGATGGCCAACCTTTTCGGCACGGAATGCCCAAACCGGAATGCGTGTGCATGTGTGTGCATATCAGGGGTGGGTTCTAAATTTTTTTACTACTGGTTCTGTGGGCGTGGCTTATTTTGTGGGTGTGGCTTGGAGGTCATGTGACTAGGTGGGCGTGGCTAGCCGGTCAGTCATTTCTGGAAAGTCCTCGCACTTACGACCAGTCCTCGCACTTACGACCCAACTCATTTGTTTGCTTTTAACACTGATCAGCTGTAGGGCGGCCCTTTGAAGCCCCGGGGCAAGAGTTTAAACAGTTTTTTTCCCTCTAGTCATCAGCTGGGACTCAGGAGGCAGCAATAGATTGGGGGTGGGACCAAATAAAAGGTAAGAATAACGTGGGGGGTGGGGGGTTGGGAGGGCGGGGGGGAGAACCGGTTCGGTGATGTCATATCGTCACCGCTACTGGCTCGGCCAAACCGGACCAAACCGGGAGGAACCCACCACTGGTGCATATGCAGGCACAGGAGCGCTGGAAATCCAAAAACCAGCTGGCTGGTGTGCATGACCGTGCCAGTCAGCTAGTCTTCGTGCACACTGGAGCACCGGAATCCCAAAGACCAGCTGGCTGGCGCACGCATGCCTGTTTTTTGGCTGGTTTTCCGGCACCCGCAAAGACCAGCTGGCTGGTGCGCGTGCCCACAGAGAGGGCTCCGCATGCCATCCCTGGTACACCGAGGTTCACCATCACAGTTATAGGTGCTCTGTATTTATATTTGATGTTTTTGGGAAAGGAGGCGGGAAGCTTTTTCTTCAAAGCTCATCGTTCTCAATTTACAGGCGGTCCTCAACTTAACAAGAGTTCGTTTAGTGACCGCTCAAAATTACAACGGCACTCTCAAGGTTGAGAAACACTTGACGTCCTTTGAATGGTTAGTGACCATTCAAAGTTACAATGGCATTGAACAAAGCAACCTCACACTTACGACCGCTGCAGCCTCCCCAGGGTCATGTGATCAAAATTCAGACGCTTGGCAACTGATTCAAATTTATGACGGTTGCAGTGTCCCGGGGTCACACAATTCCCCTTTTGTGACCTTCCGACAAGCAATCGATTCATATTTATGACGGTTGCAGTATCCCGGGGTCTCACACGAACCCCTTTTTTGTGACTTTCTAACAAGCAAAGTCAAGGGGGAAAGCCAGACTCACTCAACAACCATGTTACAACCAGAACGACCGCAGCGATTCACTTAACCACCGTGGCAAGAAAGGTCGTAAACTGGGGCCAAATTCACGACGTCTCGCTTCGCCACTGAGATGTCGGGGCTCCGTTGTGGTTGTAGGTTGAGGACTACCTGTAATAAAATCGACAATCCAAGCAGAAGAGAGAAAGAGAGAAAAAGAAAGCCTCAGTGCAGTGGTGGGATTCAGCCAGTTTGCACCTTTTCGGGAGAACCGGTTGTTAACTTTCTAAGCAGTTCGGAGAACCGGTTGTTGGAAGAAATCTTATTTTGTTTTTCTCCCACTTTACAGGGCTAATCCTGTAAGGAAGGCAGGGAGGAAACATTCTGCTGGTGTTTCTAGCCTAATCTTTATTGCCCTGCTTACAGAAACTGCCTCTCTGGTTAACCCTTATTACATTGTAACAGTGAGTGACGTTGAGTTGGCCATGCCAACACAGGTCTACCCAGCTGGTCATTAGGGCAGAGAACCGGTTGTTAAATTATTTGAATCCCACCACTGCCTCAGTGTAACAGCAACAGAGTTGCAAGGGACCTTGGAGGTCATCTAGCCCAACCCCCTGCTACTGTACTAGGGAATTCAATTCGAACCCCTGACTTTTCTGATCGACAAGCTCAGTGTCTTAGCCCCTGAGCCACCTAGCCAGGTCTCCGTCCTCGCTCTACGACCGCCAGGTCTATCAGGCTGCTGGGGGGGGAGGGCAAAAAACAACCATCCTTCCGTTCTCCTCCTCCTTGAAATCCAGGTCACTCTTGACATGCTCAGGAATCCTGCTTCTTCAAGCTCCTTCCGCCCCCTCCTTTTCCAACAGGTGGGGGCTGCCTGTCAGCTGATGATCCCTCCTGAGCTGCGGGTCGTAAAAAAAAGACCGAGGCACTCTGCACATGCTCGGAGAGCCCGCTTAAGCCCGGCCCTGCGCCTCGCCCCGAAGGAGAAAAGCGAGCCAGGCGAGGCGAGGCGAGGCGAGGGCGGTGCTTTTCCACCCGGCCCATCTCACCCAACCCCTGGCCGGCTCCTCCTCTCGGCTTCCTCCCCTCCGAAGCTGCAGCGGCGGCGGCGGCGCTGGGTCTCTCGCCTTTCGTCCGGCTGCTTGCGCGATGTGAGCCTCTGGATCGCAGAAGCGGCGGGCGCAGCGCGATGGAGCGCACCAAGCTGTTCGTGGCGCTGGATGTGCTGTGCCTGGTGGTCGGTAAGGACCCCCCCCTCCTCCCCTCCACGCGGGACCAGCCCCCCCCCCCAAACCTGGCTCCGAATTCGGACCTTCCCTGAATGCCTTTATCTCTGGGGAGGGGGGGGAAGGAAAGGGGGATCCAGGCAGATCCCCCTCCCCTTCCTTGCTTTGCTTGTCTCCTCCAAAAGACGGATCATTGATTGATTGATTGACTGTCTGATTGATTGATTGACTGACTGACTGACTAATTGATTGGATTGATTGATTGATTGACTGACTGATTGGTTGGTTCGGTGATTGATAGTTTGATGGGCAGATGGATGGATTGATGGGCCTGATTAACTGATTTCCGTCTGGGTCCATTTTAGCCATCGTTTGTCCTGCTTTTTTTTCTTTGCCTTTTTTTCTTTTCCTTTGGGTGGGAAAAGTTTAAACACTTTTTTTCCGCTCCCTTTTAAAGTTGTTCTAAGCCCCCCCACTTCCTTCCTTCCTTCCTTCCTTCCTTCCTTCCTTCCTTCCTTCCTTCCTTCCTTCCTTCTTTCTTCTTTCCTTCCTTCCTTTTCTTTCTTCTTTCTTCTTTCCTTCCTTCCTTCCTTCCTTCCTTCCTTTCTTCTTTCCTTCCTTCCTTTCTTCTTCCTTCCTTCCTTCCTTCCTTTCTTTCTTTCTTTCTTCTTCCTTCTTTCCTTCCTTTCCTCCTTCCTTCCTTCCACTCCCTTTTAAAGTTGTTCTGAGCCCCCCACTTCCTTCCTTCCTTCCTTCCTTTCTTTCTTCTTTCCTCTTTCCTTCCTTCCGCTCCCTTTTAAAGTTGTTCTAAGCCCCCCCACTTACTTACTTACTTTCTTCTTTCCTTCCTTTCCTTCCTTTCCTTCCTTTCCTTCCTTTCCTTCCTTTCTTTCTTTCTTCTTTCGTTCGTTCCTTCCTTTCCTTTCCTTCCTTCCTTCCTTCCTTCCTTCCTTCCTTCCTTCCTTCCTGTCTTTTGGGGAGGCCCCCCCCTCTGCAGAATTGGAAAGTTTTCTTCCTGGTAAAATATGTTTTTTTGCCCCACTCCCTGTCTCTTTGGTCCTTATTTTGCAAGAAAACTCCTGGGAAAACTTCTGAGAAACTCATACTTTACCAATTTGCCGTGGAGCCTTATTCGTCATTTTCTTCTATTGCTGCCGCCTCTTTTATTGATACCAGCTGGGCCTGGGGGTGGGGGATGCTCCCCCTTGCATTGGGGGCAAACAAACTCAGCATCCCTGCTTTTCTGGTTTGAAAGCTGCTTCAGGTCCATCCGGTCCCCCCTTTGATATCCCTTTTTAACAAAATAAAACCCCTTTCTCCCCTCCCCCCTTATCCTAAGGGCTGCATTCACAGGACACGCTTAACCTGCTTTCCCGAAGGAACCCCCTTTTCTGACTTCACCCAAGACCAGGCTGGGTGAATTTGTGCATGTGGGAATTTGTGCATGTGGGACAATGCAGAACTGGCAACCTGGGTGAAAGACTAACCAGCTTTAAGTCGCAATTGTCTTAGTGCAAAGGGCAGTTGTCTTTTGTGGGGAAGGGACGGCATGTGGGTTGTGGGAATGCTCAGCCAGGCAGAGGGAAAGATCTGAACTCAGGGCTCGATCTTAGGAACTTTTAAGATAAGTGGACTTCAATTCCCAGAATTCCCCAGCCAGCCATGCTGGCTGGGGAATTCTGGGAGTTGATGTCCACCCATCTTAAAAGGCTGGGGGAAAAAACCACACCATTTTGATGGCTTTCCCGATAGACATTCTTTCAAGAAATAGCCAGCGCAGCTTTGGAGTCCAACAAGCTTAATCATAATTGATTGAATCATGGTTTAGTGAGAAAATCGACTTTTCTGCATTTGCAGCCCCCCCCAAAACAGACTGTCTATCTTTCTCTAAGTTGGCTGTTTCAAATATGATGTGTGATCTGAACCTCATAGGCAACATTTCAACATCCAAGCAGCGTTATTTGGATTTTGGCTTGTTCCGTGAACCTTGCCAAATGTGCATTGTTTATAAACCACTATTGGACCAGCTATGGCTTGGTTACATGAAGCCAGCTGTTGCTTCAGTCTTTAAAAGTCCCCAATTTTTTTCCTTCATGCTCAGAACAAACTTCAAGGACTGGTTGTAAGTCACTTCCTTCAGTAATGTTTTAATTTTGGACAGTCGCTGAACGAATGGTTGTAACTTGAGGTAGTCCTCAAGTTACTTACTTACTTAATTAATTAATTAATTAATTAATTAAGCTTATATGCCACCCTCTCTCCGGAAAGGACTCAGGGCGGCTCACAGCAATAAAAACAGATAAAATCAATATTAAGTGTTAAAAACCATTAAAACTCCCCTTAAAAACCCCTTCAGTCCATTTACATTTAGTGACTGTTTGAAGTTATAATGGCACTGAAAAAAGTGACTTGCAACCCTTTTTCAGACTTATAACCATTGTGCCATCCCTACGGTCATGTGATCAAAATTCAGACGCTTGGCAACTGACTCATATTTATGACGGTTGCAGCGTCCCAGGGTCATGTGATTCCCTTTTACGACCTTCTGACAAGCAAAGTCAATGGGGAGGCTGGATTCACTTAACAACCATGTTATTAACAGCTGCAGGGACTCACTTAACAACTGTGGCAAGAAAGGTAGTAAAATGGGGCAAAACTCACTTAATGACTGTCTTACTTAACAACAGAAACTTTGGGCTCAGTTGTGGTTGTAAATCGAGGATTACCTGTACTGTATTATAAAAACAAATCTCATTGAATGAGAATTAGCATTGGTCATTTCGTTGATTTTTGTCTTAAACAGGAATATTTTGGGAGATTTTCAAACATAGCTTACATGGCAATCTTTAAGTCAGTTTTAATATCCCTGTTGTGATGGGAATTGTGGGTTAAAACAACTTTTGCAGGTGGTCCTTGGTTTATGACCACAAATGAGCCCCACATTTTTGTTGCTAATTGTTAAGTGACGATTAGCAACAAAACAGCAACTTAACAAATTTAACAACAGACGATTGTTGTGCCTCATTTTAAAACTTTTTTTGCCACAGTTGTTAAGCGAATCACACGGTTGTTAAGTTGACTTTGCTTGTTGGAAACTGGCTGGAAAAGGTCACAAATGCTTGTCACGTGATCCCAGGACAGTGCAACCATCATAAATACAAGTCAGTTGCCAAGCACCTAAATTTTAATTATATGACCAGCAGTCGTGGGTGTGAAAAATGGACATAAGCCACTTTTTTCAATGCTGCTGTAACTTGCAATGGTCACTAAACGAATGGTTGTAATTCAAGGACTACCTGTACCCAATTTGGAATAATTTACCAAGATTTGGGAAGAACTGTTCTAGAATTATCTTGTGGTGATGGGCCATTTTAGCCAGAACAAGCAGGATATTGTGACAGATATGGGTGGAGTTTTAAACCTGGTTTGTTTTGGGGTGCATACCAGAGATGGGTTTCAGCAGGTTCTGACCAGTTCTGGAGAACTGGTATTAGAAATTTTGAGTGGTTCGGAAAACCAGTAGTAAAAATTGTGACTTGCCCCCATCTATTCTCTGCCTCCCAAGTCCCAGCTAATCGGGAGGAAATGGGGATTTTGCAGTAACCTTCCCCTGCCACGCCCAACAAGCCACGCCCAACAAGCCACACCCACAGAACCGGTAGTAAAATATTTTGAAACCCATCACTGGTGCACACCCAGAATTTTCAATGGGAAGCTCTGTGGTTCTGGATTTGGCGTGCATCATTTTCAGCGGGAGTTTGTCCTGCACTCCAAACTCAGCAAAATTCTTAGGCATCTGAACTGGAACATGGAGTAAGTCTGGGTGTGGAGAAAATTAGGATGGGCCCTCTATTAAACAAGTGTGACTGAATCCAGGGGTGTTGCGGTCAAAAAAGTCAAGATGGCAGCCACAAACCCTGCCCCTTTTTGGTGTGTGTCCCCCCCCAAGTGGTACCCAAATTCTAGAAAGGACTTTTTAAAAAAGGCATGGAATATGTTTAATTTTTTTTTAAAAGCATGCATTTAGTTCAGAATGCTAGCTCCAATTTCTTCCTAATTTGAAATGTTTCACCCTGACGGTTTCTAAACAGACTGGCCTGAAATGAGATGTGAATGCAGCTAGTGCTGATATAAATAATAGCCACAATATAAATGGGAAGGGGGTGTTTGACTCTCCTAATCAATATGTGAGTGGGAAGGCCAGCATCTTATTAAGTATGGCTCTGTTGACTAAACTGACTAATGGCCCATTGATAGACAATTTCATTCGACTAGAGATTGAAATTCCTTTTCTTGAGCATTTTGATCCCCGCCTTTAATACTTGTGGCAGTGAGTTCCAGATGTCCAATTATGCATTGGTATGAAGGTTCAACATCTGTTTGTTCTGTAGGATGAAAACTGGGCAGCCCAGGCAAACTCGGGAAACATATTCCATCCTGGGCAGGGATGGATGGATAGGTGGATGGATGGGAAAGAAGGAAGCAGGGGAGAGAGGGAAGCAGGATGGAGTAGAAAGAAGGAAGGAAGTGGAGGGGGAAGGAAGGGAGGAAAAAGAAAGAAAGAGAAAGAAAGAGAGAAAGAAAGAAAGAAAAAAGAGGGAGAGAGGGAAGCAAGGAAAAGGGAGGGAAGGGAGGGAGGAAGAAATGAAGGAGGGAGGAAGGAAGGAAGGGAAGGACAGGGAAGGAAGGAAGGAAAAGGGGAGGGAAGGAGGGAAGGAAGGTAGGATGGAAAGGGAGAAGGAAAAGAGGGAGGGAGAGAGGGAAGAAGGAAGGAATTGTCTGGTGAATTCTGGAAGTTGTGGTCCACGCATCTTAAATATATCTTCTATATTTGCAGGAATTGTCCTCAGGGGCCTCAAAAAAGTCAAAATGCTATGTTAATAAATAGGATGCAAGTATATATAACAATTTAGTTTATAAGAATGCTCAGTATGGTTATTACAAGAACAAGAGAACGATTAGGAAGATTGAATTTAAAAGTAAAGATAATTGTCGATGCAGAAAGTTGTAAAATA